CTAGTTTAGAAAGCATATAGAGTCATATGGGAGAAATATATATCTTGTGGACTTCGTAGTTATTCTAAATAGTGCTTAAAATCATGCTGAGAAGTGAATCAAGAGCTAGGCAAGTATTAACTCTGTAATCTGCTGTCTACATCCGGCTTCCCCTCAAAAGTGGGCTGTACTATTCTGCACAAGCTGTAGCCTCCAGTCTCCAGGGGCTGTCTGACATGCAGATTATTGCAGTATTCGGTTCTTGATAAAATTAGACTGCAGATTGTTTAGGAACAAAATATGAGGTGCAACTGATCTAAATGATACATAACACTTTTGGTTATAAATACTTACTGAAAGTCCGGGAATGTTTATAGATAGGACACCTGACCTTTTCTGGAAGCATGTGATTGTATATAGTCCCATATCCTATAGACTATCATCAACTCTGTTTTGTTTGGATGCAGTTAATTTTACATGCACCATGAAGACAGTTTCGGAAAAAAAATACTGATAAGAGCTGGGTGGAAATGAAAAATATAGCTATGTTTTGTTAGCATATTTTTGAAGGTCGTTACCTAAGATTAACAGTGTAAACAAATTGCATCACACATGCCGTTGCAAACCTGTGCATGTTTTTTCAGAGATAAGTTTAATTGGATTTAATGGGGTTTCCTCCTGCACAGAATTGGAGCCTGACCTTGTGATCTCATAGAAGCTACACAAGACCAAGAAGTGAAAAACAGAATATTATGCTTAAAAGTGTTTCAGAGGTCAACAATATGTAAAGTCATTTGTCAAACTTCAAATGCATGGGAAAAATAGTACATTGATTATCTCTTTTACTTTTCAGAATATGTGATGGAGTTCAGTTTGGAGCTGGAATAAGATTCTTGTAACATCAGAATCTGTTCTGTAGTCTTGGTGCAGAAGAGTCCTTCAGTATGACACAGAGGTCTGATGTCCAAGAGATGTTTACTGAAGGATAATTATGTGTGATGGACTAACTTCAATAAAGAAATAAAGAAAATTTTAAAAAAACCATAAGTGCCTGCAGCCTTGATGTTTTTTTTAAACAATAGGATATTTTCTGTTAGTTTTAAATTTAAATTCTGTTAGTTGGACAAGCCACCATACCACAAACTGAGTTCCCAGTTTTGAGGACAGCATTAAGGGAATTTAAATTAGATTTACTCCTTTGCGAAGGAAAGGCAGTGGCATGCTGCTTGAATAGTTCTAATGGCATTATTCATTGTGATGATCATCATTGTACCATTTGAAGAACAGCAGGAGGCAGGGATTTAAAAAATAGCACCCTCTTTTCTAAGGTTCTCCTGGTAAATAGTTTTCTGTTGTATGCTCTGGAACAAATGCAGCAAACTTGCTTGGAAGGTAAGCAGTTCTGGATCTAGCTGGTAGCTGGATGGCAGGTCTGGGAAGCCACTATATGCTGCCTGACTTTATGAAAGAAGATATTGTTGTTTTAGATGCTGATGTGATGACCCTCTTAACATTTATACCTCAGGCCAGTTTCTTACTTTGGCTGTTGCATTCATAATAAATACTCATTGTTGATACCTCTTTTCTTGAATATAGTTGTATTCATTTCAATTCTGCATATTCTATAAGTCTCTTACTTAATACTCTGGCATAATTATCATAATTAGGCCTTTGTTAAGTGAGTATTTTTGTCCATTGCAATGATCAGTGCTACTGTGCTTTCAAAGTACAAATAACAAGGGCTAAAACTGAACTTATATTTTGATGATTAGAATTATATGGATGGTCATCTAAGGCCCCTTGTGAGGTAAATTTGTTGATAAATTGGGAAAGTCCATTTGCTCATATCAGAGCTTGGCAAAAATACTTCTGGACTATAACTCCCAGAATTCCTAAGCTGTAATGGTTACTACTTATGTTGGCTGGGGGGGGGGGGAACAAACATGATGGCTATTTCTCCATAAAAGGACCCAAAACAGCTTTCATCTTTAAAAAAAATCCTAAAAGCAATAAATTATTTATGCCTTGTTGACTTCCAGAGTGACCTACTGAAATATGTTCTATGTGGGGCAATCCTTAGAAATTTGAAGCAAGACAAACTGCAACAGCTCAATGGATCAGCTAGATCATTTTCTCTTTCCCTGTTGCTTTCCATCTGGATTTTTGAGTGTGCTGTATCCAGGCTGGCCAGTCCTATGCCAGCAGGCCTCCCTCTTTCACAACACAGTCCCTCTGCACCAACAACTTTCTCAGCAGAACTAGGGCAAAGGGTGTTGCAGCTTTGTCCACCACTAAGAGCTCTCTCCCATATTCTGGCCTTGAGGGAAGTGAATGGATCAGAGGACGCTCCACCTGCGCTAGCAGAAGTATTTTTAGAAATAAGCATAGCAGTGGATTAGAGGTATCTTTCATGAATGCCCTTTAACAAAGCTTTGTCCTGATTACCTTGGGGAACCAACCACTCAGGGCACAACTGAGATTTGAGGTGAGCATCTGTGCAGTTCTTTTTCATCTGTGAGGATGCCATGTATGGTATGCACAGGAGACGAGAGGATCATGAGCAAAGGGAGGAACAGGTTGTGCAGTTCTTTTTCATCTCCAGTGAGGATACCATGTATGGTATGTACAGGAGACAAGAGAGGATCATGAGCAAAGGGAGGAACAGGGAACGCGTACTGCAGTTGAGTGGCACAAATGGGGATTGGGAAGAGAATATGACATGGTCTCTGACAGGAAGGAGGACATTACCCTAAAGCAGTGGTTCTTAACCTTGAGTTACTCAGGTGTTTTTGGACTGCAACTCCCAGGAGCCTTCACCACCAGCTGTGCTGGCTGGGGTTTCTGGGAGTTGCAGTTCAAAAACACCTGAGTAACCCAAGGTTAAGAACCACTGCCCTAAAGCAAAACAGGAAAACTCAATAGGATTTCAATAATATCCTTACTGATGGTGTAAAAACTGTAGATGGGCTTAGAAAAATATGGCTTGTCTAATCTTTCTGAGTATTTCGGAGAAGGAACTGGGCATCTTTTGTATGTGTGGAAAGTGGTAATGGTGTTAGTATATGTTGATATCGTATTTGTATTTGGTTTTGCAACTGTGATCCTAAATATACTGGGAAAGAAAGTTCTGTTGGAATTTAAGAGCTGGAGCTTATTCACACATGCATTTAACTTTAGGAGATGACACCGCTGAACATAAGGGGGATCACTTGAAAGGTACAGTGTTCAAGTAGTGTGGAAGGAGAGCTTGTTTTGTTTGTTTTCCTTGCCTATTTGCCTACAAGATTACTGATTGCCTATTTGCTTATAGTGATCTTGGGAAGAACATTTACTTTAAGGAAAGGTGCCTTGGACTTTGGGTCACTCTCAGGCTCATTGAGTTCTGATTTTTTTTAAGGGTGTGTATTATTGAAACATTCTGAGGGATAAGTGACTGTATAGATGACTAAAAGAGCTTCCTGTTCCGCTATTTGAGATCCAGACCTCCTAACTCAACAGTCCATCTTTCACAAAAGAGGAACAGAGCATTTCCTGCTGAACTAGAGTTACTGTACTCATCTTTACCTTAAACAAGCCAGCACTTTCTAGATGGTTTACAAAATTGAAAGCAAGAGCTGGCCAAGTGGATGCTATCTAGTCTAGAATCTACTCTTACTGTTCCTTTCACACGCAAAAGAGGTGCACAGCTCATCCTGCACATGACTACACAGTTGGCCGTTAAATAATAATCTTAGAACTGCAGAGCTGGAAGTGAGCCTAGGGGCCCTGTCAGGAGGCACAGTGGGGAATCAAACTCCCAACCTCTGGCTCCACAACCATATTGCTGAAGCAGATTCAGACAGTGTAGCCCTCTGAAAATTTAGTCACTCTTCAGGGCATGGCAGTGTAAAGGGAGAGAGCAAGTCACAAATCTAAAATTAATTTTTAACAGGAAATGCTTATGGAAACTGCATTCGACAAGTTTGAAAGATACCCCTGAAGAAATCACCTGATTTCCATTTTGGCAGTGCATGGCCCTAAATACTCAAAATAAAATCTAGAACCTCACTGATGGCGATGAAACTCAAATGCAACTTCTGTAGACTCTTTGGATAACACAATGGAGAATATTTGGTCCTCCACATGGTTTGGATTTTTAACTTCCCAATTACTTATAATGCTGGTTGGGGCTTGCAGGAGCTGAAGTTCAAAACATCTTGAGGGGCAAAGGTTCCTCAGTCTTGGTCCATATGTGCCCATGACGCTTAATCTGCTACATTTCACACAAAACTCAGTCTCACAATGTCTCTTTAAGGTAGGAAAAAAAACCCCGCATTACACCCAACTCCACATACACTCCTAAAATAGCATCCTCACAACAGAATGCTTGCTATTTACAAATAACTAAATGTGAATTTTAAAATTAAAGTGATGGTTTAAATAGCCCTAAAAACTAAACAGGCATTTTGAATTTTCCATTTACTTATCCACAATCAAGTGAGCCATGAAGAACAAAAGCCTGTGGATGAATACACCACATCACTACATATTATAACTTGCAAAGTGTACAGCATGTATCTAGTCAAAGTCTAAATTATATGAATTGTGTAGTGATTTTTTTTAAAAAAGGTTTATTATCTTGTTGTCACCTTGAAGCCCTTAAGGAAAAGTGTTAGGGTTCCCTTGTGGCGGCAGAAGAGTCTACCTATCCCTCTAGGAGCTGCAGATCTAATGTCTCCTCCTCTGATATTCTTGCCCACATTCCCTAGCTGCAGCTCATCAGGGGAGAATGGGACTCTCTCTATAAGCAGAAGAACCATCGGGACACATTCAGGTTTAAAGGAAAAAGGAAAAAACAGCAAGTTGTCTCAGGCATGCCACAAGCGGTCAGACCTTCGTCCCCCTTTGTTCCCTTTTTTATTTTTTAAAACTATTGTTTCCCTTCCGAACAAAAACGTCTCGCACTTGCTCAGGAAGAAGCAAGCCCGGGGAGCGTGAGCAAACAAAGGCAGGCCCTTCCTTCTGCCGGGTCACCCCGCTGGGGATACCGCCTCGACCCGCAGCGGCGACCCATTTCCCGCCCCTCCCGCCAGGCGGGTCCCCTCTCCTCCTGCAACGACGAGGCCAGGCCGGCGAGCAGACCCGCCCCTCGGACTTCCACGCCATGGCAGGGCGCTGTGAGAGAGGTTGGGGAAGCGTCTCTGCCTGAGCCGAGCCTCCCAACCCACCCCCTTTCCCTGGGCGTGATGCGCCCTCCCACCCCTTCCTTCGGTGACTTCGTGCCTCCCGACGCCCGCGGAAAAGTTGACGAGGAGCGGAGGCTGGAGAACAACCAAGGCCGGTGCCCCGGCCGCCCGCGCTCAGCCCCCTGCCCCATGTAGCTGAGGGGCGAAGGCGCCGCCTCGGACAGCTTCCCCCAGTCCTCGCCGGGCGGCTGGCTTTCCTCCGGCACGGCCGCCCAGCTCTCCCGCCGGCGCGCCCATGTCCTCTACGCCCGTGCGGTCGCCCACCCTGCGGCCCCACAGAATGAAGAAGGACGAGTCTTTCCTGGGCAAGCTCGGAGGGACGCTGGCCAGGAAGAAGAAGGCGAAGGAGGGTGAGCCAGCGGCGCGGGACGGCGGTCCCACAGCTGCTCCGGCGGCGGCGGCGGAGGGCGGCATGTGCCTAGGGCGGGGAGAGGGGAGGAGGAGGAGGAGGGAGTCACTGGGGGTTGGCAGGAGCTTTGGCAGCGCTTGGAGGGGGAAACCTCCGGTTTTTAAAGCACATACTCTGGGCATTGGAGGGAAAAGAGGATGGAGACGGACGCACGTACCCGCGCTCCTAGCAGTAGAATCCAGTAAGGTCTCCTCAAAAGCGAGTTCCGTCGAGGAGAACGGGCGGACTCCCAGGCGAGCGTGTCTAGGGTTTGCCACAACTTTTATCTCCCAAGAAATAGCAGGCATGTGGTATCGTCAGGACTAAGGCGTTTCGTTTGGCATAAGCTGTCCTGCAGTGCAGGTCACTTCGTCGCAGGCACGAACTGGGCTTATGAGACATAGACATTGTTAGTGGTTGAAGGTGTCGCCGGGCTTTTTCTTGGTTTTTACGGCAGCAGAGTAAGAAGGTGCAAAATTCTTCAACGTACACACACGCGGGATTATTCTTTCCAATTGTCTGGACATTTTCACTACACAGCTTGCTTTTTAGAACCAGGAGGTCTGGTGTTGGCTGCTCTCTTGGATGACTTTCAGAAAGGACAAATTGGGCTTTCCATAAAGTGTTGCCTTCGCGAGTGCCCCTGTTCCTTTTATTACGAGCCACTTATGTCCTGTTCCAGAAGGGTTCTTTCAATTCACCTGGTTTTCCAGTCCAGTCCAAAAATCAGCCATGATCACAGAGAATTTTCAAACGTGTTGTTGCCCCCTGCTTCTATTCCCGTCTTCATTTAGAAGATCAAAATTATATTTTGCTTAATATAAAAAATAAATAAATAATTAAACGAGTTTTCCTTAAGACGTTTGATCCTTGTTGTGTTTACAGGGTGCTCAATTTGTTGTTGTTATTTATCATCAAGTGACTTGTGGTGACTCTATGAATGAGAGATCACCAAAATGAAAACAACAGCCTTTGTAAACTCAAGGCTGTGGTTTCCTTAGGGAGTTAGTCCACCTTGTTTTTAGTCTCCCCTTTTCCCCAACTAGAGGGATGTGGTGGCGCTGTGGGCTAAACTGCAGAAGCCTGTGCTGCAGGGTCAGAAGACCAGCAGTTGTAAGATCGAATCCACGCAAGGGAGTGAGCTCCCATCACTTTGTCCCAGCTCCTCACCAACCTAGCAGTGCGAAAGCATGCAAATGCGAGTAGATAAATAGATACCACCTCAGTGGGAAGGTAAAAAGGCGTTCCCTAGTCACGCTGGCCACGTGGCAATGGAAACTGTCTTCGGACAAGCGCTGGCTCTACGGCTTGAAAACGGGATGAGCACCACCCCCTAGAGTCGGACACAACTGGACTAAAATGTCAAGGGGAACCTTTACCTTTACCTTTTTCCCCCAACTGCCTTCAACTTTTTCTAACATTATTGTCTTTTCCAGAAAATCTTGCCTTCTTATGATGTACCCAAAGTAAAACAGCCTCAGTTTCAACATTTTTGTCCTCAGAAATAGTTCAAACTTGATTTGCTCTAGGACCCATTTGTTCATCTTTCTGGCAGTCCAGGGTATCTACAAAGCTCTCCTCAAGTGGCATATTTCCAATGAATCAATTTTAACCCTCGTCATCTCTCTTTATTGTCCAGGTTTCACACCCGTACATACTGACTGGAATACGAGGGTGTAGATGATCCTGGTCTTGATCTCCATTATGCATCCTTGCCCTTGATGATCTTTTCTAGCGTCTTCATTGCTGCCCTCCCCAATCTCAGTCTTGTTCTGATTTCTTGCCTGCAGTTTCACTCCTTTTGAATCTAATCTAACTTTCTGTGTGATATGTTCTGCGTACTGATTGATCAGATAAGGGGATAAAATATACCCTTGTCTGACACTTTTGCCTATAGAAAACCATTTTGTTTTTCCATATTCTGTCCTAACAGAACCTTCTTGCCCACAGTACAAGTTGCATATTAGGACCATCAAGGACTTAAGCTCACCAGTTTTTTTTCCAGAACAACCCATAGTTTCTCATGATGCATACAGTTAAAGGCTTTCTGTAAAAGCCTTTGTCACAACACATTGAGCTTCACTTTGCTTCTATGAGATATTAAAGGAATGATCCTAGATTTACCATACTCCTTGGAGTATTTTTGGAGACTGGAATATATACTGAAAGTTTCCAGTCTGTGTGCCATTGGTCTCTCCCCCCCCCCCTCATATTTTGGTTAGGATTTTGACAGATCCAGTCTCTGTGGCTTGAAATAGTTCTTTTGGTATCCCATCTACCCTGATGAGTTATTTCTTCTTAATTATTTCCAAGCAGCTTTCACTTTACGTACTTTATAGAATTGCAGTTTCTTCATAATAGGATTTCTTTTGAAAGGAATCTTTCATCCTTTTTTTCTGTATAAGTCTTCAGTATATTTTTTCTGCCTTCTCTGAGTATGCTTCCCTGTCGATTATTCAGTATTCCTAATCTAGGCTTAAATTTCTCTTTGATTTCTTTGAACTTCTAGAATATATCTCTTGTTTTTCCTCCTTTGCTGTTCTCTTCTAATTCTTTGCACTGGCTATTGTAATACTTTTCTTTGTGTCTACATGGCAGTTGCTGAAAAATTTCCTTCAGAATTCTGACCCCATTTCTGTTACATTTTACTTTTGTTTCTCCCCTGTCCTTGAGTGTTTCTTCCATCATCCATCTAGTCTTTTCTTTTCTTTATAATACAGAAATTGTATTTTTGCATTATTCAGTCCACAATTCTTCTCGTTCATGGTCAGTTGAGTTTAGTAAATCAAAATTGGTCCTTATCTGGACTTTAATTTCACCAGGAATGTTGTTTATATTATATTTTGGTTCTAGGATTCTTTTAGTTTTTTTTTTCCAACTTTACTGTAATGTTAGATATTAATAGTTCATCATGATCTACAATCTGTTCTTGGTCTTGTTTTGGCAGATGGGATAGAACCTCACTTCCCTGTGTAGTCTATTTGATTTCTATACTTACCATCTGGTGATGTCTACATGTGCAGTTGTCTGTTCAGTTGTTTGCAGCATATATTTTCCAATAAACAGCTTCTTGGCATTTCAGAACTCTGTGAATCATTCTTCTGCTTTGTTTTTGTTCTCTAGATCAAATTTTCAAACATCATTTGGTCCTGCTTTGTTTCGTATTGTTGTGTTCCAGTCACCTATGATTATAAACACGCCGTGTTTTGGAGTGTGATCAACTTCCTCTTGGATGCTTACATAAAAACTTTCAATTTCACCTTCAGCATCCATAGTTCAAACATAGATTTGAATGATGGTTATGTGGATAGGTTTTCCACAGAGTCTGATTGATATTATCTGGTCAGAGCTTGCATTAAAACCTCCAACTGCCTGTGCTCCATCTTGGCTCAATATTAGAGCCACTCCATTTCTTCTGAGATTGTCATTTCCAGAGTAGAATACTTTGTAGTCATCGGACTGAAAATATCCCATTCCAGTCCACTATTGCTTACTGCTACATTAAGATCCACAACTGTAGAATAAGTTTGTTACTAGTAAGGGAAAGTTTCCCTTCACATTTAGTCCAGTTGTGTCTGACTCTAGGGTACAGTGCTCATCCCCGTTTCCAAGCCATAGGGCCAGCATTTGTCTGAAGACAGTTTCTGTGGTCACGTGGCCAGCACAACTAGACACAGAATGCCATTACCTTCCCACCGAGGTGGTGCCTATTTATTTACTCGCATTTTTACATGCTTTCAAACTGCTAGGTTGGCAGGAGCTCGGCCAAGTGAAAGGAGCTCACTCTTCTGACCTTGCAGCACAGAGGCTTCTGCGGTTTAACCCACAATGCCACCACATCCCTCTTGCTACTAGTACACAGAGTTAAATAAATGTACAGAGGATTGTTATTCCCTTTTGTTTTCTGCCTTTATATGACTGTTAAATACAGAAGCAACATACTTATGAATATAAATCTTCAAGGTTTCTAAAGGATTGTAGCTAACCACAGTTGGAACCAGAATGCTAGGTCTTGTTATGATCCAGTTTAGGAGTATTGGACTATTTTAGGATTACAGGTACTGTACTTACAATATTATTTTCTTATAAAATTTAAGAAAATAAGGGTTGAAATATCTAATTATTTGTAAGACAGATTCAACAATGGACCAAGTTGCCGAGACAAGAGCAGGTACTGAACGTGTCTTGAAAGTATTTTTAATGGGATCTGCATCTATCTAAATACTTTGAGTACAGGATATCCTGGTTAGGAGAGGATACTGAAACATACAATGTATTGTGTATTTTTGGATGTCATGTTGCACTATAGTTCAGGATTAGAGTGAGCCACAAGTGAGACCTGGGGTTCTGCACTTCCCTCATCTGGCACCATGGCACAGACAAGTTAAAAAAAACTTTCATTTTCAGTGTAGATTAATTGGAACGTATTATGCTAAGCAAGTCTGACCAACCACAATCTTATCTATCCCTGCAGAACAGTAAAAAGCTCAGTGCAGTTTGTCTAATACTGTACATTGGTAAACATATTCTGTGTTAATAGGACTGTCTTGTAGAAAAAATAGCTCATAAATGCCAAGTGCTTGCCAGTTCTAGTAATTTTGTGCTCGTTGGTCAGACAGGTTTAGTCAGTGTGACGTTTATCCCCGCAGACCCCCGTGTGTGCTTCAAACACATCTCTATGAGCTTTCTCCAAAATCTTATCTCTATACTTCACAGGGACAAGTAGCTGTTTGTGGAGTCCTTCCCCTCTATGAGGTGCCTTTAAAACCTCTCTGTATAATAAACCCTTTCCCACACAATAACTCTTTGGGTATTCAGAGGTCAGTGGAATGGGATTCTCATTAGCTTTTCTAAAACAACCATTTAAAGTAATATCTTTATTCTGCTCCTTAATAAAGGAGGTATTATTAGGATTTTTTTAATATGAGCACTTTAGCCATTTCAGCTACCTCAGGGTTTTCC